AGATTTATTTTTTTGCAATTTCATCTTGTCAAAAATGCTTCAAATATTTTCGAAGGAAAATCTATCTATAAATAGTTAACAACGCCCAATTGTATAATCGAACTCTACAATCCAACAAAAAAAAACCTTTTATTTTCCCACAAAAAATGTCGTATGGACAACCCTCAACCATCTCCTTAATGGAGCTTATGAAACGATCCACGCCTAGACATATAGTGGAATGCCTTTGTTTGGGTGGTGAAGTATTAGATGTTTATCTTTAACCTACAATAATATTTTTGGTAATCATTTGGATATCCAATAAAATTACGTGATTAAATGATTGAAAAAACCAAACAGAGACAAACTGTAATACTTTCTTTCATTTTTTCTCTTTGGATAAGTTATATATACATAGCCATCCACTCATTTAGTTCCGGTCCTATTTAACGATGTTTATCGATTAAATAATACTGATTCAAAGTTGGATTGAACAACGACATTATCAAGCCGTAAAATCGAACCGAAGCTACTTTTTTGAAATCGTTGGTTGGGTCCACGTGGATCGTCAATGTTTTTGTTTTGAACCGAAACAAACCACTTCAAAGTGATTCGGTTTAGGTTTCAATCTTTGCAAACCGTTTCAAACCGCTAAATCATTTACAAAAAAATAAAAATAAATTAATTTAAATTTTATCCAATTCAATTAAAATTAAACAAATCACAGTTAAAAAAATACATTCATATTAGCACAACTTAATTAAACTCAATGCCTAAATAGACAATTATTTATCAAAATTAATAAATTAATCATAATCAAATCCTCATTGATCATCACATCTGTGAATGCAAAATCCTCAAATTGGGTGCAGTGTTAAACATTTGTTGCTGAAAAAAATTCACCGACACCCATTACAATTGAGTAAAAAATTAAATTTAGATTATAATTCAAACACACAGATTTCTTTTCTTTATACTAATAATTTCTCGAATTTTGGCTAAATTTCCAAGTTGGTTTATCCAGTTTTTTTTTTTTTTTTTTTTTTTTTTTTTTTTTTTTTTTTTGTTTTTTTTGTTGTTTTTTTTTTTTTGTATTTTTTATTGGGTTTTTTTTTTTTTTTGGTTGGTTTCTCTGCTTTTCGGTTTACTTTCTTGTAATGGATATATATGATAGTTTTAGAATTTTCCTTTACTGATGATGATGCTGAGTTTAGATATATGTGTGTATATACAGTCAAGTCCTTTTCCCTTATCTGAAAAATTTGAGCTTAATTCTTTGCAGTAATTGATGGATAAACATTATAACTGGAGCTTGATTCTTTCATGTGCAGAGGGTGGTTCCACTTAATACGTGGATCCTCATCTCCAATTTCAAGCTTTCATACAACATGCTACGACGTCCTGATGGTACCTTTAACCGTGATTTGGCGGAGTTCCTTGAACGAAAAGTCCCCCCGAATGTGAATCCGGTGGACAAGGTTTACTCTTTTGATGTTGTGGATCGTTCAACGAAACTTCTTAACCGGGTTTATTTAGCTTCCCCTGAAAATGAGGCTCCATTGGGAATCGTAGAACTAGAAAAGCCCTTGAGTAGTACTGAGGTTGTTCCCGTAATCATATACTTCCATGGGGGAAGCTTCACTCATTCCTCATCCAACAGTGCTATCTATGATATGTTTTGTCGCCGCCTTGTTAACATTTGCAATGCTGCTGTGGTATCAGTGAATTATCGTCGCTCACCAGAACATAGGTATCCGTGTGCGTATGATGATGGATGGGCAGCTCTGAAGTGGGTTAACTCGCAATCATGGCTAAGGAGTGGGCCGGATTTGAAGGTTCATGTATACTTGGTGGGGGATAGCTCTGGGGGAAATATTGCACACCATGTAGCGGTGCGGGCTGCAGACGAGGGAGTCGAGGTATTGGGTAACATTCTTCTTCATCCGATGTTTGGTGGCGAAGAGAGGAAGGATTCGGAGAAAAGATTGGATGGGAAATACTTTGTCACGGTTCAAGATAGGGATTGGTACTGGAGAGCATATTTACCTGAAGGAGAAGATAGGGACCATCCAGCGTGTAATATTTTCGGCCCCCGGAGTAGAAGCCTTAAGGCTCTCGACTTCCCGAAAAGCCTCGTTGTGGTGGCCGGTTTGGATCTTGTGCAGGATTGGCAGTTAGCTTATGTTGAAGGGCTTAAAAAATCGGGGCATGAAGTGAAACTCCTTTATCTCGAAAAAGCAACAATCGGTTTCTACTTCTTGCCAAACAACGAACATTTCCATTGCCTCATGGACGAGATAAAAAACTTCATCCATTCTAACAGTCAAGGAAGTTAATTCACTTCAAATACAGGCGGCCATACATGACAGAAGGGTTCTTTTTGCTCCCATTTTAGCAGTAGTAGCATATTGGCTAAATGATTGTGTAGATTTGCTTCTTATCTTTTTGTTAGTTTGCCATTTGTAGCGGTGAAATGAGCTGTTGCATCCTGGGGGGGGTACCGGGATCTCTTCGTCTCAAGCTCTTCGCTTTTGTCTTCTCAGTTGAAAAAGGAATTCCATGTCGGAGTTGTAAATTTTACTTGTGGAAGCTGAACAACTTGATTTCAAGATTACCTGATCGAAGTTCTGGTAATCGAGGAAGTTCGTCTGAGTATTATTAGGATAATACTCGGCTATCGTCCGATCGGTTGTTCCGATTACAATTAGGGTACTATGATAATGCTAATTTAAAGCTGTTATAATCTTGTATTGTATACTTGGTTCTCTAGAAAATATATAAAAATTGTGTTTATATCTAACTTAATTTGTGCTTTTTTATATGTATCCCACCATGGATTAATCTTCCATGTTCACTACCTTAAAGCCAACAAATTTTCACCAAATTGTTTTATTGGCAAGTGGTGGACCATTGCATACCGTTTTCATCTCCCTCTCCACCAAAACCCCATCAAAATCTTGCCAATCAATGATTAGACAAGAGTACAAACAACAATGAATCACACCATCCTTTGATGTTGATTACACTACTACTTATTAGCTCTATATTGCTTTTTCAAAACGACACGTCAAACTTAACATAATATAATTATTGTGGTAAAATTCAAATAAGTAGTTGGATTTGTACCTAAGCTCCACTTTATTCATTTCAATACATTGCACTTATATTTATCGTCTTACGTGTTCGAGTGGCTATGCTCCTGCACATATCGATATAGTGGCTTGATGTTTTTTTTGACTCTCGTCTAATTGGAAAGAGAATTTCACTCATCGATCCATCCTCTATCTTATACTGCGTTTTTTATTTAACCTGATGAGATATACGAGACATTGGACTACAAAGATGTAAGGCCTTGTTCCAATTAAACCTTCATCTCATAAGAGGTCGAGTTACCAATCTTCAACGTGTCCAACCTTTTAAGATCCAACTTCAAGACTGATAACACTTATGTTATAGTTCCAAAATACTTAAAATATAACTCATGCTCGAGCATATTGAATTTAAACGAATCTTACAAGATCTCGCATATATAATAAATTAATTAAGTAGACTATTAAGTTATTGATAAGAATACAAATTTGTGGATGTACTTAAAAAAAGGACCACATTGAAAAAAACCTCCAAATGCCCTTTTAAATTCTAGTTGTTGGGGTTGCTTTTTATGAGCCACTAAATGGTAAAAACAGCTAAGGTTGGACAATGACATAAAATGATAAAATCCCACCCATTTTCCATTGGACTTTTGTAAGAAAAATGTCATTTACTCATTTCTTGTTGCATTATTTAACATTTCTTACTTTTGTGGTTTATGTCTTATTATGGTTTGTCTTTAATGGGATGGAGTCATTGTCATCAAATTTTGGGGTTTATTAAGATAAGAGTGTTTTGTCAAAAATCTTGTTTGTCACAATCTCATTGTTAGGGCCATTTTATGCGTCTTAATTTTTCTTATTGGATGCCTCTTTGCCTCAATTATTGAATATTAAGTTTGTCGAGTTCACACGTATAGGTGTTTTGTTACTTCACGTTACAATTGGATAGCTGAAAAGGGCAAATGATTATTATTTTGATTTTTTATGTTCATTTATACTGTTAAATAAGTTACTTTTTACTCATCGATAAAACTCATTTTTAAGTACAATAAACAACACTAATACTTAATTTGTTATTTACTTATTCGTATTTTTTAGGGTTAAACAAAACTTCCGAATCGAATTGAACCCTGATCGAACCGAACCGAACCGAACGATTCTTCTTAATTCAAATACCCGAACGGGTATCTGAATTCAGAACCGACGGATTTGACTCAGTTCTCGATTCTACTACACCAAGAACTGAATAATGATCGAATCTCCCTAATTTTTAAAATTTTTTTTAATCTTAAATAAGTCAAATTATTTCATTTTAAAAAAATAAATTGCTAACTAATTAATTTAGTCTAAACCAATAATATGATTTTATTATTTCTAATTTTCGGCCTAACTCAACTTAATCAAATTGATCTAAATTTTACCCAGATATCTTATTATACCTTAGTATTATTTCTACTGTTCTATTATTGTGAACTAGTCATCTTCCTCTTCATGTGATTTTAAGAGTCAAATATATGAAGAACTCAACAAAAAGATGTGCAAAATATATCACGAGATTGGACTACGTTATTTTGTAAGAGTTAAGACTGAATATGCCATAGTCGAATTTATGTAGCGTTGTTGTAATATAAAAAAAAATTAATTATTGTACGGAATCCTGGAACCGAATTGAACCGAATACGAACGGTTCCATAATTAAATTTAGTTCCGAAAATTCTATTTACTAAATATTCGAAAATTTCGGGTTTAGTTCGGTTCTCTTTAGAACCGAATCGAAACGGACCATACCCACCCCTAGTAATTTTATTTATATATGAACTTGTTTACTTAAGAGTATATGTATTTTAATTCAACTAATTTTCTTCCTATTATTTTGTGAAATATTTAGTTAATAATGCGGTCTAATTCATCTCGTAAAGGGTATTATTTTAGAAAAAAAACTGAATGTACAACATTTTTAGACATTAAGTTTGATAGCCCTCTCACATGGGTGTGGGGCCCGCGATTGTGGGTCCCACCCGCATGTTAGAGTGCTGTCAAAATGTATGTGTAAGAAGACTGTAAGTATAGCATTTCTCATTATTTTAATCCGGGTATTAACTGCACTTAACGATGTACGGAATTAATTAATCTTTATATGTTCTAATTCGACGTACCAAATTGAAGATATTTGGTTCGTAATCCGAACTCATAAAGTTGTGAATTAATAATACGGTCTAAACTAAAGGTTGAACCCCAACCTTGAGGGCCCCCACCGACCCTGCCCTGGGCCATTGTGAAAGAGGTAAATCGCAGGATGTGCCTCCCAGGAGCCAGGGTCCACCCACCCTTTATAAATTTTATAATCTGTCAAACTACGTTTATCCACATATTTATCAAATCAATTAATATTCGCTTATTTATTTATTTATTTATTTATAATTAAAAAAANCCCCACCTCTATGTGAGAGGGATGTGAAAGTGAATGTGAACTAATGTGTGTACATTTAACATTTTTGATTATTTTAATAGAAATAAATTAATCTTTACCCAATCTAATAAAATTCGAGATATCTTCTAGATAGCAAATTAAAATTTGCGGGCCCCACCTCTATGTGAGAGGGATGTGAAAGTGAATGTGAACTAATGTGTGTATATTTAGCATTTTTGATTATTTTAATAGAAATAAATTAATCTTTACCCAATCTAATAAAATTCGAGATATCTTCTAGATAGCAAATTACTCGTGTACCAGTACCGTCGACCACACCCTGGTGCCATTTAGCCCATATTTAGTGCTTGAAATAGCTATAAAAGTGACATTTGCAGACTGTACTCATGGGACATTTGGTCATTTGTTGGGCTCAGTAAATGTCGCCCCATCTTATCCTCATTTGGGCCCAGAAATTCGTAAAATAATTTTGGGCCTTGTACGACTCAACCCCTTGTCCAAGCAGTAACAATTGACTCTATTATTCATAAGGAATGAGCATTTTATACATAAATAGGTGCAAGCAACGTGCAATGCACGTTTGCTTAATTTATATTTAATAGTTTCGTTTAAAAATTAATTTGTTATCAATAAAAATGTAATTTTTTTGATTAATTAAGGGCGTGTCTGGGCGCGCTGCAAGGAGGAAGGAAAATTAATTATGTTACCGTTTTTTTTAAACCTACAGCCCTACAGTGAGAGAATTGGTCCAAAATTGCGGCTCCCAACTGTATGAATTGTGCTGCCAACGGCTTGATTTCTGCTTAAAAGCAGAAACAGACACCATCTAAATAATTAAATGATGTAATGTTTATGTAATTGATAAATAATTAGATGTGTGATTTTGATGTTGTGATATAGGTTGGTGAGATTGAAGAAAATAAGCAAAAATTGTCAAATTTGGAGAAATTGCTAAATTGTAAGGGATCCAAAGTTCGGGGACTAAAATGTAAATATTTAAAAACCGTGCCGNTAAAACAAAAAAATTCATTTACATAGTCCGTTATATTGAGACATATTTTTGGCATAGAAAGTGATTGAATTGGAGAATGATGTCTGAATCAAAGTTGTAGCCAGATGAGTTAGCTTTCCAACGCATTTTGAATCGCCTAAATCGGATATCGGAATACAAAGTTATGATAAAAAAAATGAAGGAAGGTGCAGCTGCCTGTTTAAAACAAGAATTTCCGTTACATAATCCGTTAAAACAACAAATTCTGTTAGTTTTTCCGTTAGCCACTTTTAATATATAGAAGATAGAGAACATATTTAAACGTACAAAGTCAAAATTCTTGTACAGTCTAACAAACTCTCTATTTTGATTTTTCATTTTGTTTTTCTCTAAAAATATTTATCGATTTCTCTTCATATTTTATTTAACATAATATTCATATGTCAATTGACTAATTAATTTAATTGTGGTTTGAATATTTTAAAGAAATGGAGTATTGAAATTTATGACTTATTAAATGAAATTATTGTACATTAAAAATAGAGAATGAACTTGATTCTCTTAAATTTGAAGTATAAAATTCATTCTCTATTTTAAAAAATTAAAATAAAGAATCTCTCGAAAACGCTCTAAATGAAATGGAATGATTTATCACATTCTCTCTCAATTTTCACCCTCATCTTGTTACATGTACATCAACATTTATATAATGAATTACATAACACGATCAACTTTTTCATCTAATCTTTTTCCCCCATATCATATTATATAATTCATTATTTAATTTTATTTTTTTACGTAGAAGTAACAAAATCCTTTCCAAGATTGATTACCCACAATTTAATTCAACTTAATTAATTACCCTTATAATCATAAAATAAAATAAATGTAATTATATCCCTACCCAAAAACCTATGAAATACCAAATTTGTCACTTTCTTCTCCGGCTTACACTTTCCACCGTATGCATTGTTCAGCAGGCCTTGTTTTTTGCTTCCCAGCTTTCAATGGGCATGGCGTCCGTACATGCAGGACCATACAGTTGTACTGTAGACACAATGAGCTGCTCACTGGAATTGCAGCCACTGGAATAATCTCCATTCCGGTCAAATAATTGTGCTGTAAATACAGTATTTGCATACTGGCTGATAATAACTGGTCCACCAAGCTACCTGGGACTTCACCGGTGAACCTGTTGTTGTTTAGATACAAGTGTTGGACTGTAGAGAATAATGGAGAAATCCAACCTGAAAACCGGTTGAAGCTGAGATCAACTGTTGGGATTGATACCTGATCGATTGGTTCAACGGGGCCGGAAAACTGATTTCTTTGCAGTTGAAGGTTGGTGAGTGGAAATGTGAATAACTTGCCCGGTATGCAGCCGGTGAAGTGGTTCATACTGAGGTCAAGGAAGCTCAGCCGGTCCAGACGGGTCAGCAGCCTGTCCACTGGGCCAGTCAGTCTGTTCCGTGATAATGAAAGGTACTGGAGTGATGGAGGTAGGCCAAGTGGGGAAATGGAACCGGAAAGATCGTTGTGCTTGAGATCGAGCCGGGTTAGCTTCTGGGAAACAAACGGCGGGACTGAACCCGACAGCTTGTTGTGACATAGAATGACATTTAATAACGACGGTAGAGTTCCAATGGACCAGGGAATGCTACCGTAAAACTGATTGAAGCTAAGATCAAGCGTTTGTAGTCCCCGGAGCTTGCCCAGAGCAGCCGGAATATCACCGGAGATGAAGTTCCTGCCAACAGCAAGAAACCTGAGATTTTTCAACTGAGATAGAGTTTGAGGCAGAGACCCAATGATCCGACCTGGAACTATAGTAAACTCTGTGAGAGCTGACAGTTTCCCAATCGCCGGGTCTATCCGACCTGTTAAACCCGGAGACCCGGCTCGTGGATCACCAAGATTCAGAGCAATCACTCTATCTCTATCGCAATGAACACCAGCAAAATTGCATGGATCTGCAGTGAAATCCCACGAAGCAAAATAATTCGACCCGGGCAAATCATCCAAACTCTTCCGGATCGACTGCAATGCCAAGAAATCAATCGGGTCCAAAATTGCACCCACCGGAAAACTACATTCCAAAAGGACGAAAATGAAATGCATCCAAAATATGAACCTACAATCTCTCCTTTTCCTCAATAAACACCACATTTTAGGGTTGTAACCGTAAGAAAAATAAAACTTATACAAAGAGGTTTTATAAAGGAAAAGTGGAAAAATCAAGAAAATTGCATTGATTTTCAAGCGATTTTCTTGAATTTGGGCACTGTGGAAGGGAGAAAAGGTGGAGAAAATTGAGAATGCAATGACCGCAGCAAGTACAAGGAGACAGTTTAATGTGGGAGAATATTGGGTTTGGTTTTCACGGCGGTTTAGATGAGGACAGCGTGACGGTTTGGTTGTCGCTACCCCATAAATTTGATGAATGATTATTTTTTATCGGTTTATTGGAATATTCACTGAAAGTTAAATTTGGGGTGGTGGAGGGGTGACTTGTGGAGGCATGCATTTAAATGTCACCTCTCATGTATTGATGCCACGAAAGAAGCCAAAGAAGGGTAAAATGGGAAGAGGGAAAAAGACGGTTTGGGGGCGGAGCAGCGGCAGTGGCGATGACAGCTGGAGCCTGGTGGTTAGATTAACAACCTGTCTGGAGCCCATTTTTCCAACCAAAACCGTGATTATTTGACCGTTACTTGGCATGTTGGGTCCCACCATTGTGAGTGTGAAGTCAACAATGTCATGCTCCAACGGTAAAAAAAACAATGAAATTCTGGAGAAAAATTGTTAGCAGACAGGCTGTAAGTATTGGTCATCCTTTGTGCTTGGTGTCCAAGACGATACTTGCTCCCATTTGTCTTGAGTACAATCAGTCAATGCGATTCAACACATTTCAAAAATAATAAGGAAATTCTGAATTCGAGTGGTATTTCACTCCTAACCACAACTAAACAGTAGATTCTTTCAATAATAGTTGGTTCGAACTTTCACCGAGTTTCATCCAATTTTTATCTTAGTCATGGATAGATCACACAACCTCGAATCCATAAATTAGTGACACTATATAGCCCTATGAAGACTGCATGGTCATCTATACTGTCATAAGCTTAACACAATTAAAAGAATTGTGTATAATATGGCCAACTAAAAGCAACTAGGCCACAATTACAAATTGTTCATTTGTTTCGGTATTTCATTCTAAGATGTACTATGGTTTCTATAATCGATCTTGTGACCCTCTTAACTTGCTTCTAACCTTAATTGAGTTTTTTGCAATTCAAGAACTTCATAGTAACATTTATTTCGTAGATAGTTTCTATCAAATCACATCTCGATCCATGTCCAAATTGGAGTAATCATATTGCTTTACTATTTGGGTTTTGTAGATATGGTAACTCCTATAGGAAAGAATGCCAACCCCCTCAAATGGTCCTATCGATGGGAGCAATTGCAAAATGATGTGTGTTTTATTTCACCAACCCCAACCACCCTCCTAGCCTCTCATCATTTTCAGAGGTGGAGAGAAAGTAGAATTAAAAGAGCGGGCCTTATTATTTATACGCTTTTAGTAGTTATCCTCGTTTTTACTAGGTTGATATTATATTTACTACTAATACGATAAATTGGTTATAGTTTTCGTTACAAGAGACGTGTCCTTGATTTGTATGGAATTACACTTACGAGTGTGTATATATATATATACTAGGTGCAAGCAACGTGCAATGCACGTTTGCCTAGTTTATATTTAATAGTTTTGTTTATACAATCTTGTATCTTGTATCTTAAAATGTCAAATTCGGTTCGATCCGGTTCGGTTCGGAACTTTTGGACACCCCTATTCAATCCGTCGATAAATTTGACCAATGACCAACAAAAATTTAGTAAGTGATAAGAACAAATGTTTTTCGTCATTGAAACAGTATTTTTCTAATTGAACTGTAAGAAAAATAAAAAGGTAATGTGGAGAATTAATTCTTGCAATGATGGGATGAATTGTAAACAATTAGCGTGTTTGACATGTAATCTCTTCTCTACCACAAAGTGGGAAACTTTTGAAAGCATAATCACTTATTTCGTATAATGGATTTCAAGCGACTAAAGAAATAAATATTTTGAATTTGAAAATAATTGGCATAAAAAAGGTAATTAATTGAAGTAATTTAATTACGTCTTTAATAATATAGTAGATAGCATTACTGTTTATTTATAATATATAGTGCATAGCATTAATATGCAATTAATTTTATCCACTTGTCAGTTCTTTTAAAATGGATGATGTGACAAAAAAAATTCGGCCGATCGAGAACCAGTCCATCCAAACTAGTGGTGGCAATGAACCGAAACGAGCCGGCTCAACCCATCTACCCATGAGCTCTTGACGAGCCGAGCCGAGCTCACGAGTCGCTCGTCAAATTTTTTTTTTATTTTTTTTTTAAATTTTTTTAAAGCTTTTTTCTCACATTTTTTACGAGCCCATGAGCAGCTCGTCAAAACAACGAGCTGAGCAAGCTTGGGCTCGTCTTTTGACGAGCCTGAGCGGCTCACGACATCATGAACTAGTTAACTTTGAATAAATTGACCATTATTGGACAGTTGAAACCTACTATTTTTACTTTTTGAAACCTTCAACTTTTTTCTCTCTTGAAACGTCATTTTGAGAAACGAAAGACCTTTAAGTCTAAACAAAACATATCTCAATCACATAAATTGAGTTTTCTTATTTTATTATCAATCACTCCAACGTCAAATCATAAAATGAAACGTGGCTTATAAAACTTTTTATTCTCCTTTTCTCAAAACTTCATGGTCAGAGCTAACTCAAGCAAGGCTCTAAATTTTTATATTTTACATACTTTTACCTTTGTTTTTCTTAAAATAAAATTATATCTCTAATTAATAACAATAAGAGAAATAATTAAAAATTACGAACAACTTTTAGTTAGTAATGTTAAAAATATAATAGTTTGCGAATTTTTTTAAAAAAATCATCAATAGATCATTTAAATTATATGTTAGTACTTTATAAAAATAAAAAATAGAAAGAGTAATTTTTTTTGTGAGGAAGTCGGTGGTAACTCAAACAGTGTCGATAACTCTTGACAACATGGAATGAAATTTCTATTGGTGATTGTTAACGAATGTGGGTCGCTAATCGATAATTTTAGAATATTAAACAAAAATGAAAACTATAATTAGTTAATATTCTTTTTTCATTGCTTAATCTTAATTAATCTCAACAAAGATTAATTATGTATGGATAGTTTATTGCATTTCATCAAGTTATTTAACCCTCTACTTTTGATTAAGGCTGATAATGGTTACTTGTCACGTTTCTCGAAGTTAAGAATGATTGTTATATACAAACACATTCTTTATGTCTATTTCATTTCGAGTTAAGAAAGAAGTCGAAACACATTTGATTACTTTAACACACTATTTGCCGTAGTTTATTTTAAACAAGTCATTTCGAGTTAAAAAAAGGAGTCAAAACACATTTGATTACTTTAACAAGTCATCTCGAGTTAAAAAAGGAGTCAAAACACATTTGATTATCTTAACAACCTTTGTCGTAGTTCATTTTAAACAAGATAAGTAAGTCATATGCTCGCTACCATGTAAGCTATGAGAGTATTTGAGTAATCAAATTATTCGAGTTTGATAAGTGAAAAAGAATTTTTTTTTTTTTTGCTACTCCATTTTCTTGAAATGATTATCTAATGCTAGAAATTAACTGTACTAAGAGTACATTATTGGCCAAATTTCTGAATAAATTAAAAAAAATTAAAAGGAAAAATGATAAAAAGTAATTTAAAGTAGCTGTAAAAGCCCATAAAATGGAAGGCAATGCATGCACAAGTGGATGTGAAAATAGTATGAATATTACCGATCAAAAAAATTTAAAGTACCGATCAAAAAAAATAGTATGAATATTTACAAGTTGTCAAGAGAATCTTGCTTTGACACATCTATATAAACAATAAATGTAATAAAAAAGTAACTACTTATAATTGAAAATTGCAAAAATTTCACATATTAGTAGAACTCTCAGACTCTATCGACTTATTCAGTTTGTTATCAATTTTTCGGTACCAGGGGCGAAGAAAGAAAACGAAAAAAAATAAAACTCATTTGAATGAAAAAAAGACTAATTAAGAAGAGAACACAGATTGAATTTATAACAAAATGTAGACATTGATTTGTAAGCAAACAATGAAATGTAGAAGCGGTAAAATGCATGGAGATCAGGCAACACACTCAGCTGGGCCGACTCGACTGATCTTTCTGACATTCCATATGTGCAATTTTTAGAACTACATATAACAGAATCTAGCAGTCAAAGCGGCTAAATAACAAGAAAAAGCATTCTAACTTGTTGGCTTTCGACCTATTGTTTCCATAGCAGGGCAACATCAATGGCACTTATTCTATTAAGGGAACCGTCCCTCCGGCCTGCAGGATTTGCTGCTGGACTATTAAGGGAACCGTCCCTCCGGCCTGCAGGATTTGCTGCTCCAGCTGCATTTAACACAGGGAAGTTCAAAAGCAGATTCGAAAACCTCCTTGGTTAAACATGTGGATAAATTATCAATACTGGAATAGACAGACTGGGAAAACCTTGAAAAAGCACCTAAATTGTTTGAGCAGCATCTGGCTTTAAGGTTATAAGACGATCCCTCAACTTTTATCAAGACTCAAGACAATAAGGTAATAATATCACCATCCATTGAATTATTCTTATCTCGATTTCTTTCTTAAGAAGTTAATCGATACTTCTGTAAAAGTTTAACCTACACAAGCCTGTGTACATCCATCAATTTCTCATTGGGATTGAAGTTATGCATAGGCTCTAGACTCCTCCTCTATATATCATACTAATTTTGTGTGCAAGAGGCTTCATTATGCGCAGATACTTGAATAACTACGATTGACAAATTCTGGTTGATTATTGTTAAATTTGCTTAGTACTTATGGTTAACTTTCAGAATGAATTCATTTTAGATATATAGAAGTTCACCATAAAGTAATACTCACCCTTAACAAAGTTTCCAGCTTGTTCTTCACAAGATAGAATTCTTGTTTTACCATGTTGAGAAATCTTGAGC